AATAAAATAAAGAAATAAGTAATAAAAATAAAAATTATTATTTAATTGAAGAGTTAATCTTAGCCACACATAATGTACCAATCTAATGGATAGGAATGGGTCTCACATTCACACTTTAAATATGTGTACTCATTGGATCCAATCCCTAATATATATATATATATATATATATCTTTAAAAGTGGGTGTGTTAAAAGTTTTTAGTTAAAAATTTTATTACTTTCTATCATTAATTTTTAAAATTTTGAAATACTTCATATTTTCTATTTGTTACCCTTTTTATATGTAATATATCACATCATTTCTTTTCAAAGATGTTTGAGTTGACCAGTATATTCCAAATAACATAAAAATAAATTATTTATATCTAAAATATTATATATATAAGTACTAATTCAAAATAATAAATTGATCTAAAAGTATATTATATAATAAATTTTATATTCAAACTAAGTTGTGACACATACTAATAACTATAAAATAAACTAATAAACAAAAATAATATAATTAATATAACTAAATATAAACCTTCTAAAAATATATTTATCGACGTAGTCGAACTGAGTCGTTAAACGTTTGTTAGTTTTTTGTTCTTATTTATTTTATGTGTAAATTTGAGGTGATAGACAATGGTTATTTGTACATTTATACATGTAGATTAGAAAAAAAAATCTTTATTATTTTAATTTTAAATAACTTTTTTATTTACTATATTAGTTTTTTTAATATAATATATAAGTATCATATTGAACAGATAAAATAAGAAATATTTTAATTATATAATATTTAATATGTAAGAATTGTAACTCAATTGGTAAATTAATAGGTAATCTTGGGATAAAATAATGAGTGATTTATGAAAAAAAAATTATAGGAACTAAAAAGTTCACGTGTTTAATATATTTTTAATAGAAAAATTGTAAACACAATTACTCAATAAATACTACATAAAAAATATAAGAAATCTTATATCCTCCCTATATATAATTAAAAAACATAACTTTTCTCAATTTAACATAAACAAATAAATGAAAATAATATATTTTTAAAAATTTTATGAACAAAAGTTGACTCGACAATATTTTTAATGAATTTATGAATTGTAAATATTTAATTAAAAAATTGTAATTAAATATAATATAATATAGGATATACAAATATAGTTAAATCAGTTTTATTAAGTATAAAATAACATAAGATAAACTTGTGGTATGTTTTCCATACATAAATTTGAAACAATTCATATTAACAAAAAAAAAGTAAAAAAATGAGTGTAAACTTCTAACTGTTCCCACGTTTTAGCTAGAGCACCCCAAATTCGATATATGTTTGACACGAGCTTGTCGTAATGCTGAAACTATGGCAAATTAACCTTAGGGTACAAACGAAGGAAAAGCTAGGCCAGAGAAAGGAAATGAAATAACATTAGTTATGTGAAGTCAATTACTGCTGCAAAATGAACCCCATAATGGTGGTACCATATATGTATTCAGTGATTATGAAAATGACAGTTAATTAATATTTTATCAAACATTGGAAAAAATTTTAAAACTTTTTAATCTAATAATTCGTATAAAAAGTACAATTTTATCAAATATATTAAATTACATTTAATCTTATGTGACTATATTAATTGTAGCCTAATAAATAAGATAATTTGATACCATCATTATATAAAACACATACAAAAAATAACATAATACGTATAAATGTGCTTTAGTTACTTAGCAAATAAAATAATATTTGTCTATATAATAAGAAACAAATAATATAATAGTAATGCAATGAAAAAAAAAACATGCTATTTTTCTTAGAAAAGTATGAATACCAATATTTACAAACAAAAAGTCTTTTAAAATTACTAATTTTTTGTTGCTAGCGTTTAAATATATGGACTCTGTAAGAAATTGGTTCTCATAAATAATGATCATATATTATTTATTTCAATTTTAAATAATTAAAAAATCTAAAAAATTGTATACATGGTGTATATTTTAATCATGACTCCATAACAATAAACTTTACAAATGACTAAAAGTATCGTCATATAACGGAATTATAAGTCTTCTGTTGTCAAATATTTTAACAAATGATATGCTTCTCAATATTTTCTCATTGTTTTGTTTTATCATTGCAAAGAACTAGATTATATTGTTCGTCTATATTCTAGATAAATAACACTGAAAATGAAATGTAGGAGTATCAAAATAGTTTATATGTTAGAAGTAAGTTGTCACTTTTTAAAGAAATATTTATAATCTCATTGGCGTATTGTGCTTGAACATATGTGCAATTACTTTAGAGGTACTTTCAGGTAATGTATGATGATTTCAAAAAATAATTTAGCACCACGGGAGAAGCAGCGCCGACTCTGTAATTTGAAGGGCCTATGGGCAAGCAAGAAATATGGGCCCATTGTCTTCGGGGCAGGATTCAATTCTTCTTCAGCCGACAGCCATATTCTTCAGCTGACTTTTTTTTTTACCAAAATACCCTTAAAATATTCACTCTACACTATACTACATGGGTTGAGGGTATAACTGATTTTTCACTTCGATCCTCTCTCTCTAACTCTCTCGCTCTACCAACATTTGTTTAATAGTTTAGTTGTACAGATGAGATCCGTACAAGTTTTTTTCTTTGTCAATTAACATGGGCCTTCAATAAAACAAAAGGCCTATTTAATATATTATATATACCAAATACTGTACAAGATTATATATATATATATATATACACACTACATACTTATATAATCTTGGGCCCCCCCCATCCATGGGCCCCCGGCCGGCGCCCTGGCTGCCCCTCCCCCCCCCCCTAAGCTGGCACTGGGGAGAAGTACATGTAACCAAGATTTTGGAAAGTCAATTTTTATTTGGAGATAAAATTCATTCCTACCACGTGGGGCGATGCATCAATGGGGGTAGACACCAATATATCTAGAGATAGAGGAATGTAGTAGTTTATACAGTGATAAAAAATATTTTAGTGACACCGTTAGTTATTTCATAGAGATATTTATCCTTTGTTAGTAGAAGTACCTTATTATAAAGATCATACGATCATGAAGTCTGACTATATGTTGGGTCAGAATGTTTCTTAAGTGTTTGAATAAAATTGGCGTTTTGCCAAATTAATTAAGAGGAATTTTACAATAGTATTGATGTATTGGACTCCAACGACTATGAATGTTCTTATGAGAACATTAAAACTAAAATGAAAGAAAATCTTTGTGTTTTTTTTTTTATTAGGAATTTGTTTTTTATATATATTTTTGTTGGGGTTTGTAAAACGTTATTTCACTATTTTTATATGAGGACATCATTATGTTAATTCTAAATAAAAAAATTCACATATAAGTTCATTTTTTTCTATATTTTACTTCATTTATGCAATGATATGTTTAATAAATAAATTAATTTATTTTACAAACTTACTCTGCGAAAATCATTCGATACACGTGCATCGCAGGTGCACTTTACTAGTATCTTTTAAAAGAGGCAGAATGGCATCTATGCAGCTCGTAGAGTTCAGCTTCTCTGAGTTTCAACAAAAAGATTACATACTAAATCCATAAAAATAGCCATATTACACTGTACAAATTGCATGTTTTTCTTCTTAGAGCCACTGTTCTAAAAATCGGCCTAGGCGGCGCCTAGGCGCTAGGCGGTGCCCGGGCGCCTCCGATTTGCACAAATTGGCAGAAAAAATCGGTCAAGCGGTTAGGCGGCGCCTAGGCGGGCCTAGGCGGCCCTAGGCGCTCCTAGGCGCCCTTGGCAGGCGCGGCGGCTAGGCGGTTAGGCGGCGCCTAGGCGGACCTAGGCGCTCCTAGGCGGGCTCGGCGGCAATTTTTCAATTTTTTTTTTAATTTTTTTAAATTTTTTAAATATTAATTACATTATTTTATTCTCATGTTTTCTTTAAAATATATTAATTTTATTATTTAGACTTAGGCGTGTCGATTTATTATAAGTTGAGATAGTTTTATTTTGTAGGTAGTCAAACTAAATAAAAAATAAAGTATTTAATATTGATTTCTAGGCCCCGACTAGGCACCGCCTAGGAGCTCTAGGCGCTAGGCGCTGGTCGAGCGCCTAGCGGGCGCCTAGCGACTTTTAGAACACTGCTTAGAGCACCCACAATGCTTTGAGTATCTTTTGACATATGTGGCAAATAAATAGACTTAAGTCCATAATGACATGGACAAACCCAAACTAAAAAATTCAAAATCTATCAAATGCAAAACAAAAAAGTACTAGGTCTAGAATACTAAACAACCAATAAAAATATAGTAATAATAAATGTATACAAAAAAAAAATGTATTTTGCCTATTAAAAAGAAAAAGAAAATTATGAACAATTAATGAGTAGGTGAGTTTGCACTTGGGTCCAAAATAGACCCAATTGTGGACTTAGTCTCTTTTTTCTAGTGCCACATAATTGCATTGTGAAACATAAGTGCACTTGTCATATTTTTCACTGTATTTTATTTTCTTTACAAGATAGATTGCTTGGAAGGATCCATTATTCTAATCACTTGTAAATTTTCTTGTCTTTTTGCTGATAAACATATAAAAGTGATGCCACTAATCAAGAATACACATGGTTCGTTTTAAATTTTTCAAGGCAATGACACGACCAAAACATAATTTCACAATATCATAGTACTCGACGGAACTCTACCTACAATTACTAAATGAATATCTTGATTTGGAGACCCATTGTGCACATTTTTATTGCATATTTTCATCTGTTTACCAACTAAAATTTACAAGTACACACTACCTGTGGATGCTACAGAACAATTGTGATGTTTTATGCATGTGTGCTATTTTTCTGAGCAAGACCACGAATGGAAGTGCATATACATATATATTGTATGAAGTTCTGTGGGTAAAATGGTGGTGAGCAATTAAAATAATTCATATGGGTGTTAAGGGCCTCAGAATATGTCTCAACGGATTGTACAATTGTGAAGGATCCAAGAAAAAAGTGTAGAAATTACAGAGTGGGAACTCTTTCAGTAGAACCAGAGATAACCGTGAGCAAGTTGTTGCCAAAAGGATCACTCAAATGTGCTGCCAGGTTTTCAACGGGACCTTTCCCCGTAACGTACGCCTGAAGGAAGAAGCCAAGCATAGCAAACATGGCCAATCGTCCATTCTTGATCTCCTTCACCTTCAACAACGCTGCCTGGTCAGGATCATTTGCAAGCCCCAATGGGTCAAAAGGGCCTCCAGGATGAAGCTTGTCCTCCAAGTCCTACCAAATATTATTGCCATGACCACTCAATTAAGCAAAGAATACATATATATTCACAAAAAGCGCAGTGTTGTTAAATTTTTGTTTAGATAATTTTGAGGCCAAAACAATTATTATTGACTGGAATATCGACATGCATCAACTTCAACCATATATCATATATGTTTACATGATCTGCTGTTTTTCTTTCCGGAGTCCTGCTTTCGAGCAACCCAACTTAATCAAACGTTCACAGATACAGATATGAAACTTTCAACTGGAATGCATCAATTACATACCAAACCATTTATAATTCTGTAGTATTCGGCACCCCCCACGAGTACGACCTCAGCAACCACAGCAACAACAAGATTAATGGGGATATTCTTTCCAAAATAATTCAAAGTGTTCCCGTCAAGAAGCAGGGCACCAGTCTGCAATCAAGATCATGAGAAAGCATAAATCAACTATAAGTTAAACCTCAAATGCTTTCATAGTGGGATTACTAATATATCAGTCTTTACAAAATTGTAGATAGAAGCTTCCAATTAATTGCAACAGAACATATATTGTTGAAAGAAAGAAAATACTTTTTCAAGTATTTGGTGACAACCAGTGGTAAATACAAAGATGTATATGTAGGGAACTGCAGTATATACCTTGAACCAAACAGCTTCAGGGCCACAATTAGCTCCGAATTTGTTGAACGCCTCAGGGATGATGAAACCAGCAGCACCGAGCATTGCCCATCGAGCGTGGATGAGCTCATATGCTTGATATCTATATGTAAAAACTCCAAATTCTTACTCTCACTGTAGTTTTGCAGCAGGATCAGAAAAATGTGCTAGATAGAGGGACACTTACTTGGCAAAGTCTTCAGGTTTCTTGCTAAGGCCAAAGGGATCATACCCGTAGCTGCATTCGAACAAGAATTTAGTTGAATGTTTCTTAAAGGAACAAAGGGAACAATATATTTGTGTTTGTGTGTGTGTGTATATATATATATATATAGAGTAAATAGAAAAGAATGAAAAGAACATACTCTCCAGGAACTTCTCCAGTCAGGTATTCGGGGATTTCTGATCTGTCCAAAAGTCCATCGGGCAAAAAAATTCTCCTGTCAGGTCCTGCAAACAAAAGAATGAACGATTCACCAAGCTAATTAGTTATTGTAATGATTCAAAATGATGTTAATTATATGTGTTGTAGATGAAAGGGCTCGCATTTGTTATTCGAAAACAGAACCGGTCAATAACCGACCTGAACTGATCGATAACCAAAACAAATTCGGTCGGGTTTCGGTTATGGCATATGGCATTACCGACATCCTATTCATGTATGTTGAATAGGAAACTATGATAAAAATTCTTGGTAAATAGGTGTACGGAAATGTTTGCCTTTTTCACTCGTATCAGTGTTGATATCATATACCTCCTAGAAAATATATGTTCACATCTACCTGTTGTATGTACCTAACTGAAGAACCAGCACTCACGTACTATGAAATTCAAATTAATTACATTAAATTGTCTGTGGTGCCAAAGCTAATATATGTTGTTTTTTTTTTAACCAACATAACAATAGAGCTCTGATCCATAATTTCTTCAGTGATTAATCTTGCCTCACTTCCGAAGAAGATAATTATGAATAAAATGGACGATTGAGATGGACTTACCGTACCACTTGGCGAGCTCCTCGTCAGCTGGAGAGACCGACTTAGATTTGGGTGGCGCCGCCTTCTTCTTGGAGCCGAAAAGCGCCACTGTTCTGAAGCTGGTGGTGGGGCTCGACACACCACTCGACCTGGAACTCAAGCTCAGGGGTTTGCCCACCATCCCCGACACCCCAACAGCTGAAGCCATTTTTACTCCTTTTTCTTTTTTCTGCACAATAAGATTACTGATGAAAGTGGAGAGTGCAGACATACACGCACACACACTAATAACTAAAAAGGCAGATGTTTGTGAATGTGGATGCGCCGCGTGGGATTGTGTCATTGTGGTTCCATTGGTCTGGGCAATCTGATTGAGGTTGTTGATAGGTTGTGCCAAGATTGTTCTGCTGAGCTGGCGTTTACATTGGATAACTTGCGCTATCCACGTTCGGACTAGTTAAGAGCAGCTTCGTCTTTTTGCCACATGCACAAATAATCTTATTTGGCTTGAAAAAATTCTAGAAGACTTCTAAATGTAGAAGTCTTTCTAGACAATTTATATTGTATATTAGAGTATTTATTTACTTTATTTATTTTCTTCAACCAATTAAAATGTTACATATAACAAATGATACCACAATTAACATTAATATAATCTTTTAGTTTTCATTCTCCATGTCATTCAACACAAAATGAACATTTTTCCATTGCAGATGCTCTAATATTGGTTTCGTGCTAAATAGAGGTCAAGATTTCGCCCCTTAAACTAGTACGTACCTCGTGCGATGCACGAGACGGAGATATTAAATGAGTTATTTTCACATACTCTATCCGTTTAAGTCGAAAATGCAATACGATTATCATTTATTTTCTACCTCTTTTAACCAGCGTTAATTCTAAAAGACAAACAATAGTTATAATCTATTTTTCACTTTGTAATCAGCGTTTTTTTTTTAATCCAGAAATTAAATATGAACATGTTAGGGCTAACAAATCCCCC